CACATTACTGCTTTATCATCAGATTACCTCAATATATTCATATTGTCCAAAAGATGCTCAAGACACTATCAAGTGAAACAACATCTCACCAGTCTAAATAATTTATCATAAAGTGAAATAGGATCAGTTAAATAGGATTTAGTACTAGACTTGGTGAAGCCATAAATGCTCAATCTACTGTGTAATTATGCTACTAAGAAGCTATAAAGTTTATATATATATATATAATATATATATATATATATATATATATATATATATATATATATATATATATGTTTTCTATCAAAATAATTATATTTAAAAAGTTTTGGTGATTAGAAAATAATCTTTAGTTACCTATGGAATACTTCATTTTCCAGTGAAATATTTATATTGTATAAGAATGAGTTATAAAAATTATCACTGAATACTGCATACAGAAAATCTCAAAAATTTAAGATTTTCATATATTGTTAAAAAGAATTTCACATATTCATTGAAGTCCACCTAAAAGATATATAACAAGTTTAACAAAATAGATGGGCTTTGTAAAAGGAAAAAAAAAACCCAGAAATAATATATTAAAATATATTATATTTATTATATTATATTATATTAACATATTTAGTGACTAAACTTCAAAGGGGTGGGTGGGAGGATGACAGGTTTTACAGGCAAATCATGATCTAACAGCATATTTAAATTGAGGCAGCATATTCACATACTATAGTACCAGTAGCACTAATCCTCCACATTGCCTATTGGGGCAGTAGCTCGTAAGATGTTGTTGAGATAACTGGCTTCCATTAGCAAGTATGTGATTGGCAGGATGATAAAGTCTTTTCACTCACAGGTCAGCTATTTCCTTTTCTTTAGACCAGGGCAATCCTGATGATCCATCTTTTAGCTACAGTCTCTCATTGAGTCCCAATTCTCTTGCCTTCAGCTTTGATACGGTTCTAGCTTTCCTCTTGTATTAGCTCATACTTGTCATCAACTCCTCTATTCAGTAGAGCAAATATCAGGAGTTTGACCTCAGGGCAAAGTCCGGGTGGGCAGGTAAAATTTGACCACTGGACCTACTTCCTAATCTTTCATACCCAGCAATTCATGAAGCAGTATCAAATTCAAACTAAAAAACAGAAGCATGACCTCTTAGAAGTACTATGAAAAGGGCTCTTTTGCCTTTCTAAGTATACTTGAAAAGAACTGTCAGCTGCCCTATTAAGACAGAAATGGATCACAGGCTAGAAAAAAAAGAAGGAAAAGTGCAGAAACTGAACTAAAATGTAAATAAAGGTATTAGCACCCCTTTATGTTTAGTGATATACTATTTCATAAAAGTGTAAAAACACTATGCCTTAAATATCTTTATGAACCCAGAAAAAAAGCATTATTGAAATTTTAGGGCATTCTTATTTAAATAATCACTAACATCTGATGCAAAAAAAAAAACTTGTATATTCTCATGTGAGGCTTTTGTTTTCAAGTTTAGTTTTATTTTTTGGCCTATTCTCATACTTGGCATTTTGCCACTTGTTTATAAATTGATTTAAAAAGCAAATATAGCTGAAAATACCATTTTAAATAGATTAACTACTGAAATCATAAGTTATGATTAAGTTATGCTACAGTGATCAAATAGCTAAGAACAAGAATTACTAACCATTTTAGAATATAAAAGTAGAATAGAATATGACCAGATTTTAACATTAATAATCAGAGAAGGGCTGAGGTTGTGGCTTAGTGGTAGAGTACTCACCTAGTACTGGGTTTGATCCTCAACACCACATAAAAATAAACAAATAAAAATAAAGGTATTGTGTTCATCTACAACTAAAAATAATATTATAAAACAATAATCAAGGAAAAATATTTTATGCCCTTTTAAAACTAGAAGAATTCTCATGAAAATCAGAGAGACCAATAGAATAGAGGAAAGGGTCCGGAGAAGAGAGGAGGTAAGAGAAAGGAGAAATATTGGGGAATGATATAAATGATACCAATTATTATTGCTATATATATTCATCTACAAATATGTAACAACAAATCCCATCATTATATATGATTATAATGTGCCAATAAAAGTCCAATTTTCTATTCACTGGTCTATAATACTACATATTTACTACCATACTGCAGAATTGTGTTTAATATTTACATAGTAAAATTTTTTAATTCAGTTAAGTCTATTAAACAAATTACACTGATAAGGAAAAGCCAACCAGGACTTAATGTCTTCTAAGTATACATACCTGAAAAGTAAATCAACCAAAATGACTTGAGATATTATTAATATTTAAAAGTATGCCTTAGTGACAATTCCCTAGGGAGTTATATTCTTGTAAAAAGGACTTTCATGCTATCAGATATCAATGGTCTTTGAAGAAAGAAAGTAACTGAATCAGAGGGTGTTTTGTTGTTGTTGATGTTTATTTGTTTTGGCTGGGGAGTGAATCCAGGGGCATTTAACCACTGAGCCACAACCCCAGCCCTTTTTATGTATTTTATTTCGAGACAGGGTCTCACTGAGATGCTTAGGACCTCAATAAATTGCTGAGGCTGGCTTTGAACTCATGATCCTCCTGTCTCAACCTCTCAAGCCACTGGGATTACAGGCATGCGCCACCACACCTAGCTGAATCAGAGTTTTTAATCTAAATCGAACCAACTATCTATCCGGACAAATCATGGAATGGAATCATTTTTACTTTTTTATTTTTTCCCCAGGGCAGGAGGATAGAACCCAGGGTCACTGAGTTATAACCCCAGCTTACTAGGAACAGAATTCTTCAAGTTTCATAAGCCCATGGCCCTACTCACAATCCTACAATGAGATTAAGAACTAGTTAATATCATTAAAACTAGTTAATACCACCTAAATTCATATAACACAAAATATCATGTAATAGTTTTCAATTTTTTTTTTTGCAAATTCTTTGTGTATTATGGAACTTATCCTCAAATCATCCCCTCTTAAAGTTGTCCTTTGGGGTTAGAGAACATACTATGTTCTTGCAACAGGAAAACTTACCCCAGGTAAGCTGCATAACCTACTTGGAAAACAAAAATACAATGAAACCTATTTCCAACTTGCTAAAGAAAACAGTTTTCTATATTAGATCATTTTGTTCAGGGAAACAGAACTGCAACAGAGAACTTCTTCTACAGGAAAATGACTTACTGCCAGTAGAAAGAAATCTCTTCTGTTAAACTGAAATGGAAGTGGAGAGTCCATTTCCTTTATTTCCTAATAATTTTCCCAACTTAGCAATGTCAATCATCTATAGATCTAAGCCATTCATAAAGAGTATTCTTAGTTTGACATAATATCTGAGCACTGAGCAAACAAAAATGTTTAGTGCTATACAGACATAATATGGGGACAGAAATGGCCGTTTCAGTTTCCTTCTAAACCTGACTTAAAGATATACCACTTAATTCCACATGTCTAATTGTCTCATAAGGATTCCTACCCAGTTTGTGGGTATTTTACTTCTATAAAGAATTTTTAAGCTCCACAAGGATGAAACTATCTCTATTACTCTTCTGTCTATTTCAACCACATCTCCTCTCTAAACAATGTATATATAGCCATTGATAAGTACTTATTAAACACCAGTTGGGAATTAGAGCAAAAATAGATCTATCCTCAAATATTTACTGAAATCAAAGTTCCTTAACTGCTCAAACTGGCCATCTGCAAATATCATTATGGTAGAGTGTGTCATATCTATAGAGCTGCACCCCAGTCATATTCATCCCCCAAAGGGAATGGGCATCATTAGGAGACTGATAACACAATGCCTTTGTTTTAATTCAGTCTCCATATGGTTCTTGCCAAGCACTCCTGAACCCTTGAACTCAGATCATCCCCTTATGCACACCCTTGTGATTCCCCAGCTCTATTAACCTCCTTAACCATAGAATTAAGGAAAAAAAAAAAGAAAAGGGGAGAAGGAGGAAAGAGGAAGAAAGATATAAAATGAAAAATATGGAAGATGGAAAAAGAGAAAAAAATAAAACAACAAAGCAGAAATGTCAGAGTTGTAAAATGAAAGGAAGCAGAAAAAAAAGATTTTCACACTTGTTATTAAACTTAGAGTATTATGATCAAAAAAGAATTATGCAAATATCTAGTAACAATAGTAATAACATTATTATATAATAATATATATTTTATTATATATTCTTTTCTTCTTCTTCTTCTTCTTCTTCTTATTATTATTATTTTTGGTGCTAGGGATTGAATCCAGGTTTGCTTAACCACTGAGCCACATTCCCACATTTTTTATTTGAGACAGAGTCTTGCTAAATTGCTAAGGGCCTCACTAAGTTGCTGAAGCTGACTTTGAATTTGCAATCCTCCTGCCTCAGCCTCCGGAGTTGCTGGGATACAGGTGTGCACCACCGTGCTTGGCTTATTGGGTGGGTGTGTGTGTGTGTGTGTGACTGAGGATTAAACCCAGGGCCTTGTACATGCTAAGTGAGTGCTCTACCACTGAGACACCCCCAGCCCTCTAATTAATTTCTGAAAATTAGTTTCATCTTTCTGAAAATATATAAAGTTTGTAAAAACAAACAAAAAAGGCGTTCTTTACACCACTGGCAAAATTTTAAGCAAGGGGTTACTTTTAGGTTGTAATAATGTACATTTAACTTGGGTCCTGAAATTAATGTTGCTACCATCAATTTTAATATATGGCCATGAAATTCTTAAGAAATAAACTTCAACTGTCACTAAACAAAGCATAAATAAACTTCAATTGCCACTAAACATTATACCTGTGCTTTGCAGGTATAATGACTAAATTAAATATTAATTGTGAGAATGCTCTATAACACTGAGACATTGAATGAATATAGGTTCAGAGAGAAATGCCAAATACATGGCTATCAAGAAAGCATTTTTCAAAAGGTTGTTTCAAAGAAAACAAGCACTCATGTAGCATTAAAAATAAAAAAGATATGAGATAAGATAAAAGGTAGTAAATGAGAAGTACATTATTATATCTTACTTGTCTGAGGTCAATAAATGCTAGTTGTAAGGTATCCCCCTGGAATCCTGGCACAGGCTCAGAGCTGGCAAACACTATTAAAAACATAAAAATAAATTAAAAGGAATTAAAACAAGATTGTAAAATACACATGAGTTGAACTGCTAAATTTTACTCATTACACATATATTATAATATTTACACATAACCATTTCAACTATTTATAACTTCAAATTTCTACTCGTGAGAATGTTTTCCACACCCATTACCACAAATATTTTAATAATGTTAAACTTCTAATCTGCCATTTAATCACTGTAATCCTTAATCACAATAAATTTAGCAGGGTTATCCAACATGCAGTTCAAAAGTTGTAATACACTTCAATCAAGGCAAAATTTTTTGACTCTTTTTAGCCTTAGGTGAATGATTATAGAAACATTTTGAAACTATACCAGTTCCATGGCTGTCAACATATTCCAAACATTTGCTTTGTTATACAATAGGCTCTACAAAAATCTTACCTCTAGCTAATAGCAATAAAAGGCAGACACCGAGATAAGAAGTCAGCTTTACATGCAGACAACAGGTAAAATATCCAAAGCAGAAAAATCATGATTCAAGAATGTATACTCACATCTTTTAATAAATTGTTTTCATAAAGGAATCTTGTTTCTTTAAAACTAAAAGATATCTTAATATTTTAAACATTCAAAATATCTTTAATTCTTTGCATTTAAAATAAAAATTTTAATACTATGCACACAGCTTTAGTTTAACTAAAGATAATCTCAACAATAGTAGTTATTTTGAAGACAAAGCACTCTGGGTTCATAAAAAAAAAAAAGACCTCATTCTTTTTGTTTCTGTGCTAAGAATGTTTATACTCATTCTCCCTCCACATTAATATTCTAATTTTCTTAGAACATTATGAATTTTCCTTTTTGTATTTAACTGAGCCAGTACGTTAGAAGCCATTAAAAATTTCAGCCTTTATGGTTCTTGGAATTAAAAAAAAATCTTAAATTTAATGGATTCTGTGTGAAGCATAGTTTAGGAAGACACAAAATCAATAGTTAAAAATCAGTAGATGAAACTTTAGCACAATTTAATTTATCTGGCATCTTTGAGGAATAAGGAGTAAAAACAAAGTTTTTGTTGTTGCTGTTGTTTTTAGATGATAATTTTTGCTTTAAGTAAAATTTTTCTTTAATCTTCAGCATTTTGTATAGAATTATAAAATGTACTATAATATTTTCTTACCTCTTATTTTTAAAATACATTATTTAGATTTTTTGTAACTCTCTGAATTACCATTAAGAATATTCCATCCACCTCCAAGGGCGTTGGGCATGCTGAGATACACTCAGCTACTTGGGAAGCTGAGGCAGGACTATAAATTTGAGATCAGCCTGGATAACTTAGTGAAGATCTGTCTCCAAAAAAGTGCTAGGGAAGTAGCTCAGTGGAAGAGAACTTGCCTAGCATGCATGAGGCCCTGAGTTCAATCCCCAGTGCCAACACACACACACACACACACACACACACACACACAAGTTACAGTTTAATCTCCATTGGCTTGGCATTAAAGCCAAGAGCTTAATTATAAAACATCATAAATTTATACATCATTTTATCATAATACTTTAGTAAACAGGGCATACAAATGATGGATCATAAAATCTTATACCTAAAAGTGACATCCCTGTCTTTGGAAATATCTCCAACAGTCCCCTGAGGGCTCAGTTTAAAAGTTACCCAGTCCTTCATTTTAAATGAAAAGTAAAGTGACTTGCCCAGAATCACATAGCTAATTCTGGTCTCCTGGCATTCAATCCATTGATCCAGATCTTGATTAAGAATTTAGTTTCTCATCTTTTATCTCATTTTTTATGAGAACTTAACTAATACAGAGAAACTCACTGATTTATAACTCTCAGGGCTTTTTCTCAAATATTTTTAAGGAATAGGAATTTAACAACCTGATAATCACCTGACACAGAGGACATTTGTAAGAATATGCTAGTCAGTTTGATTAGCAGCTTCATATTCTTTTCCTTTAGTACTTTAAAACTTAAGTGTACTCAATCTTACCTTTAAAAATCTCTTAAATCTATATCTGTCTCTACCTCAGTTCAAGCTATCATCATATCTTGTTGGATTATTAAAAGCACACTCCCATCTGGCCTCCCTATTTCCTCTGTGCAACCTCTTCATCCACTTCTCCCAATGTGATTTATGTAAGATGTAAATGTGATTTAGGCACTTCAAAGTAATATCATTTAATGTTTCACCATCACCTTCACAATAAAATAACAAGATTAAGGTCCTTTATAACCTGTCCTTTGCCTATCTTTCTAGCCTCATGTCTTACCACTTTTCTAGGGGCATCTTAAACTTTTCATATCAAATTAACCTGTACTTCCTTGCATACCAGTCTATGTCTCCTGTCTTTGCCTTTGATCCTTCTGCCTAGAGCGTCTTTCTATTCTTTTTCACCAAAATAATAACTCTTACTTATCCACCAATTCAATCATCACTTTTCATGGGAAGAATTCCATTATCCCTGCAGATTGGGCTAAATACTTCCTCTGGGCTCCCATTGCAACTTCCTGTGTAAACCTTTCCTCAGCACTCATTTTTGTTGCTTATAACTGTCTGGGTCTCCCCAACAGACCATACTCCCTGAGGGTAGGGACTATACTTCCATTTCTCATTTCTATGACCTAAATAAGAAATATTTAATGAAAGTTTCTCAAGTGAATGAAAGAAAACTGAGCAAGCAATAAATTCTAAGAGGATGTCATTCAGTCTTGGTAATTAATATACTATCTGGGTTGCTGATTAGATAAAAAATAACACTAGCACTTTCTGCCATATGGAAATATTCCATAACTGCACAGAACACAATTTTTAGTTTTATGTCACTTAAACACATACACACTTTTTTTTTTCAGTGCTGGGGATCAAATTCAGGACTTTGCACATGCTAGGCAAGCACTCCATCACTGAAATACATTCCCAGCCCATTAATTTAAATTTAATAGCCATATGTGGCTATTGGATAGTACAAACCTAGAACATTTCGTGCATACTTAGTGTATTTATATCAGAATAAATCAGTGTGGGTGAGAACATTCCTAATGCATTCTTCAATAAAAATTGAAGAATTTCCACTTCCTGGAAAGTAGAGCTGTTTTTGTTTTGTTTTTACCTTTCATATCCTGTGCCTGGTTACAGGAAATCTTAACAAAGTATGTGCTAAAGGAATAAACAGGGATATAAAGAATTCATTTCTAATATTGTTTAATGGTCCCAGGCCATTGTTTAATGGTGTTGATGTGTGTGTGTGTGTGTGTGTGTGTGTGTGAGAGAGAGAGAGAGAGAGAGAGAGAGAGAGAGAGAGAGAGATAGATACTGGGGATTAAACCTGGGGATACTCTACCACTGAAATACATCCCCAGTCCTTTTTATTTTGAAACAGGGTCTCACCAAGATGTCCAGGTTGGCCTGAACTTGCAAGCCTCCTGTCTCTCCTCCCAAGTAGGTGGAATTACAGGCAAATGCCATCACACTTGGCTAATGATCCCAGTAATTCTTGAGGTACATGTCAAATTTTTAAAGAACTGTTGACTAACTTTTGAAGTCTTTTGAATTATTATTTAAATTCCTTCTTAGTTCATTCAGATTCTCATTTTGTTTATGTGATTTGTCATATCCTGGGGTTTACTTATTCTACTCCTTTGGGCCATCATATAATTAAAAATATAATGCCTACTTCCCTAAAATGGTATCTCTTGTCTTCACAGTTTAGCCTTGCCTTTAAGGATATTTTTTAAAAAACATAAATTGATCCTGGTCCTAAATAAAATATTTTATTTACTTTAGAAATTTTTAAACAGACTATTCTGAATCTTTGTTTTCTTCTAAATTTTTATTGCCTCCAATATGGTCATTTTTAAAAAGACAAAATAACTTGATAATAAATTAATTTCCTACTATTTTCTGCCATATGGAACTTAGAAATAATAAATGATTCTATGTCTAAAAGTACTCCAAAAAAAGATTCCAGAGAGAAAAGCCTGATCTTGGAAATATCTATGATAAGTAATAGAATAAAAGTCTGCTATGTCAGTCTAAGTAGGAGGAAGACAGAATCAAAGCAGATGAAACTGAGAAGAAAAAGTAATTCATTTCAGGTGGAATTTTTTGGGTCTTCTAAATATAAATCATGTCATCTGCAAACAGGGATAGTTTGAGTTCTTCTTTTCCTATTCGTATCTCTTTGTTTCTTTCTTCTATCTATTTGCTCTGGGTAGCGTTTGAAGGACTATATTGAATAGAAGTGGAGAAATAGGGCATCCTTATCTTGTTCCAGTTTTTAGAGGGAATGCTTTCAATTTTTCTCCATTTAGAATGATGTTGACCTTGGGTTTATCACATAAAACTTTTACAATGTTGAGGTGAAGAGAGAGCTTACAGAATGGGAGAAAATCTTTGCCACTTGCACCTTAGACAGAACATTAATCTCCAGGATATATAAAGAATTGAAAAAACTTAACACCAAAAAAAAAAAAAAGCCAAACAACCCAATCAATAAATAGGCTAAGGAACTGAACAGACACTTCACAGAAGAAATAGGAATGGTCAACAAATATATGAAAAAAATGTTAAATGTTGACAAGCATGTGGGGAAAAAGGTACACTCATACACTGTTAGTGGGACTTCAAATTAATGCAACCTCTCTGGAAAGCAGTATGGAAATTCCTCTGAAAACTTGAAATGGAACCACCATTTGACTCAGTTATCCCACTCCTCATAGTATTCCCAAAAGTCTTAAATCAGCATACTACAGAGATGCATCCACATCAATGTTTATAGCAGCTCAGTTCACAATAGCTAAGCTATGGAACTAACCTAGGTGTCCTTCAATAGATTAATGGACAAGGAAAATGTGATATATATACACAATGGTATATTACTCAACCATAAAAAGGATGACTTTATGACTTTTGCCGCTATATGGATGGATCTGGAGACTATCATGCTAAGTGAAATAAGTCAATCCCAAAAAAACAAAGTCAGATGTTCTCT